AATGGGACTTTTATGGTCTGTGAAAAATTGCGTCTCTTTTGTTGGTCCCTTTATTTACCTCTGCAGTACTATAAACTGAAGCAGGAAATTGTACGTTCAGATTAGGAAACATTGTAGACAATAAAGCTACAGATTTTCATGGGAATTTGCACCAGTAACTCAGGCTTTCCTATCCTCCATAAAATGGATTTAATTAGTTTATCTGCTAATAGAAATAGTTTGTCATAATGGTAGGAAATACAGCAAAGAAAGGTATAAAAAGAAAAAGAACCTGAAAAGGTTCCCATAATTCCAGCACTGAGAGATAATGACTGGTAATGTGTTAATTTATATCCTTTGGATATCTTTCACGTGCACGTAGTTTGCTATTTTAATAAAATTGTGGCATTGTGTACATATTCTTTTGCAAGCAGTTTTCTCCTTGACACGTTATGCACATTTTATGTTTAGAGGTTAATCTACATAATCTTTCTTTATCGTCTAATAATCTATGATGCGGTTAGACACCAAGTAATTAACCATTCACAAATAGCAAGATGTTTAGGGTTGCATGGTTGGTTTTTGTCATTTCTTTTGCTATAATACAAAATGCTACAATAAAGATTACTGAACAGTTCTGGTAGTTGTTCATCCAATTGTTTCTTGCAGATATATTCTGAAAACTCCAATCTTTTACATGTTTATTCATATCACCCGGCTTTCCTCTGAATGGATCAGCAATATACACTATCCTCGTCAGTGCCTGTTTTCTCCATGGCCCGTCCACTGCTAGCAATGATCTACCCTTTAAACATTGCTGCTCTAATCAGCACTTTTAACTTTATTAGTAAAAATAAAACTTACTTAATTGAATAATAAATATTTAAATTAATTTAAAGTTGACTCAACTTATATAATTTCTAATAAGTGCAAATGTATTTCTAACATACTTTAGGATATCTACAATTTTTTTGAGAGTGACCTGTTGATAGCCTTTGCCCATTTTGTTACTAAGGAGATTGTATCTTGTAGTTATTCATTTGCTATTTACACATTAACAATGTGAAACGTTATTTGTCGTTGATGTTGCACCATCTGTATTTTATTGATTATGGATTTCACTTGATCGACTGTATGTGTATGTGTCTCTAGTGTGTGTACACAGAAAGAATAAATACAGACATTGATGGATCCATGGATAGACAAGACAGAAACAGATGTAGGTTGATACTCATGTGAGCTCCCATTCCTACCACCTACAAATCAATACCATACCTCTCACCTGGCCTTCTGGTATGGAATTTAGCACGTTCTGCACTCCATTTTAGATATTTACATTAAAATTTTACCTCTTGAACTTGAAAGCCCCGGAGCCCACCCACAAAGCACCCGCTAACAGAAAGTGGAGGAATGTGTTCGCATATTGCCCGCTTAGACCTGGGGAAGCTGTCCTGCAGGGGCTTTGTCCCTCCCCAAGGACACCTTCCCATACAACTCTCTCTCACCTCCACTAGTACTCTCTCTATTATCCCCCCCTCATTTCAAATAACAAAACGCACCACACAGCCCCTGTCCTTGTAAAATCGGCTTGAAAGAGAGCAAAGCACTCTACATCGAAGGCCTCGGCCACAACAGCTCCTTCAACGGAAGGGAGCTGGGCTCTTGCCACAGAAGGACCTAGCGGCTCTGCGTGGAACTGTTTTACTTAGCGGCCTTAATGTCCTCTGACAGCAGCAGTGTCGAATCCCGAGAACAGCGTCCCTCTAAGCGCTCTAGTTTATGTCTCTAAGCAGCCAGAGCCGTTTGTTACTATGGCCGCTAGAGGGAGTCCAGCTATTAGCCTGCAGAAACAAGACTGGAAGCTTGTTGCATCCCAGCTTCCTTATGGACCGGCGACCCCCTTGGGTTAATCAGATGTGGCCCCACCAGGTGTATGGTTCTTAGGTAGCCTTTCCTCCCAGTGGGTTCAATTCCACACAAGGCTGGAGATCACTGGATGTTGACTTTTTGTTTGGTGTGAACTCATTATTTGTGAGACTCTACAGTGGAATTTTTGAGGTTGAATTTACGTGTTCCTTTCCCTTTCCCCCTCTTCAAAGAAACTCTCTCTTCCCCATTTTCTCCCCACCTCACTCCCTCTACCTATATTTATTGTTTTTTTAAGATATATTTATTTATTTATTTGAGAAGTAAAGTTACAGAGAGAGGAAGAGATAGAGAGAGTGGTCTTCCATCTACAGGCCACAATAATGGCCACAATGGCTACAATGGCCAGGGCTGGGCCAATCTAAATCCAGGAGTCAGGAGCTCCTTCCGGGTCTCCACATGGGTGCAGGGGCCCAAGTATTTGGGCCATCTTCCACTGCTTTTCCAGGCCACAAGCAGAGAGCTGGATGGGAAGAGGAGCAGCCAGGACAAGAACTCGCACTCATAAGGAATGCCAACACCACAGATGGAGGCTTAGCCCACTATGCCACAGTGCCGGCCCCTCTTTATTATTTTTTAAAAGAAAAATAGTATTCTATATAACTGTTTTCAATCAGTTATTTCTGCCCCCCCCCCCCGAAAAAATAAGAGCATTCTGAGCTCCTTCATTTGCCTTACGGTGAATATTACTACACTGAAATGGAAAACAAGAAACAGGAAGGGCACTTGGTACAGCCAGTAAGACACCAGTTGGGATGCCCACATCCCATTCTGGGGCCCTTGGGTTGAGTTCTAGCTCTTTTGATTCCATCTTCCTGCTAATGCACACCCTGGGAGGCAGGGGGTGGTGGGTCAAGTAGTTGAGACCCCGTCATCCACTCTGGCATGGGGGGAGCGAATCAGCAGATGGAAGTGTCCTCTGTTTCTTTCCCTCTCTGCCCCTCAGATGAATAAAAACAAGTTCAAATGTTTAAATTCAATCAAAAAAATAAATAAATTCTAAGTGGATTTAGATGGAAGTCTTCCTGATTTTGTGTTCAAATGTAAGTTATATAGGAAAGAAGATTCAGAAATGGCTTTTGTCCCATTATTTGTTGTTCAGTCAGTTGTCACAGAAGACACAGCAAGTGTCGTCCTTTCTAGCTTTGAATACTTCTTCAACTTGTAGTTTGTAAACAAACCCATTAGAACCAAAACTATCTGGTCACCACCAGGATATACAGTATATTCTTTAAAAAAAAATTAAGATGGGGTGGGAAGAGTATTGATATCTAAGTGCAGCTTCAAAATTCCCCTGCAGAGCCTCACCAATGGATAATTAATTCACAACAAGGAGAGCTGAAAACCCATGCAACCCATCCAATAAAAACCCAAGTGAGACATGGAGGAAGTGTGAGTGCAAGGAACAGCACTTATAACATGGAACACTCACACTTCTTAGAATTCAAGATTATTTAGCTTTACCTTTACAAAAAAAAATGAACTGCCTAAGTTTCACCAAATGGAATCCTCATTTTGAAATAGGGGAAATCTCATCTTACAAATCTATCCTAATACACCTGAATATGGTTGTCTTCCCTCCCCCAACAGCTAAAGTTTGGAACAAATGTTACAGAGCTTCTCTAAATCAACTTTTACATCAGTTCACTTAAGAAAGGCTGAGACATGTAAAAGACCCCCTTGGGAAAACAACTAATCACTTGACCAGTTGGTAATACAGTCCCATAAATGTGACTTGCAAAACAGAGTAAGCTCCCTGGTTAAAACAAAAATTCCATGATGCATTTTTGATACTTGAAACATTTTATAATGTTGCCTCCCCTTGCAGGTTTCCTCTAGCACAGCTCAGGTAGAAAAATAACATAATGTTTTATTTTCTCCCTAACTCCCCAATACACATTGACATTCGTAGGCAAAAGTGTGTGGGAATAGAATGGTTCTTGCACCTTGAAATGAGACAGAATGTTGGATAATGATAATGGTCTCCTTCAGAATTCAAACTAACAGTCACAGAATTTGCTGTAAATTAGGCAGGATAATTTATGTAATCCCATTACATGCATAAAAATGGAATTGTTGGATAATTTATCTATCCCATGACATTCATATAAATATACATCTTGGTCTTATGTGTTCTTCCACTTAACATGCTAATTAGTGCACTTCAGGATCTGTGTTAGACTATAGCTCTGATTTCCTAAGAAGCAGTCGAATCTAAATAGATTGAGGAATCAAAAGATCCAATTCATAATCCAACTTCTGTCTTCCATGCATGAGACTCCTAGTGTGTAAGTATTTACATGTATCAAAACAAATTCAAATTTAATTCATTAATTGGATATCATAGAGATAAAAGTCTGTTGGAAAATATATTGGATTAGGCGAACAAAATATGGGGGCTATAATGAAGTTTCGTATCACTTGATGAAGTTATTTAACTCTTCTGGGTTCAGCTGTATCATCTGTAATTCATGAATTCAGTCATTCATTCATTTATCCAAAAAATATTTGTTGAGTGCCCATGACAGGCTGAGCCACTGTCATACACAATGTAGATACTGTGTGCTCATCAGTTACATTCCACAGGGAAAAGACAGAAAATAAGCAAAATATGTAGGTAAAAAAGTGAAATGCACGTCATTTAGAGAGTGATAAAAGCTATAGAATAAAGAAACAGAGGGGAGGAGGGTAAAGAGTACCAAGGTGCTTGCAATTCTTTTTTTTTTTTTAATTTTTGACAGGCAGAATGGACAGTGAGAGAGAGACAGAGAGAGAGAGAGAGAAAGAGAGAGAGAGAAAGGAGGTGCTTGCAATTCTAAATAGGGTCATCAAGAAAAATATATGGGCTGGGATGAAGCCAGAATCAGGAGCTTCTTCTGGGTCTCCCACATGGGTGGCAGGGGCCCAAGCACTTGGGCATCTTCCACTGCTTTCCCAGGCACATTAGCAGGGGACTGGATTAGAATTGGAGCAACCAGGATTTGAACCAGCACCCTTATGGGAAGCCGGTATCACAGGCAGCAGCCTAACCTGCTATACCACAACACTGGCCCATTTAAGTAGCTTCAATCCAGACATCACCACCACACAATAAAGAGGATTTAAAATCTTTTTATTTTCCATAAATGGTCATGGTAATGGTAATGATCTTACCCATTCTGAGCAATAACGTTTATGACACACAACAGTAGGTCTTTTCAAAATGTTATTAAAAAATTATTTGTAAGTTTCTTTTCCCTTTAAGGTTAAATTTCCTGATTTATAATGGTAGAATAAATTCATAACTGAAGCAAAAATTTTAAATGAGGTAACACACAAAAAATATTTAACACATTGTCATTCATGTAAGTAATGAATTGTGAATCCTTTTCCTTTCCGTATGGCACAGCTGTAATCACCAACATCAGTCAACCGTTCTGGGAAAATGGCTGGGAGCGTGGTGTCCAGATCGTTATTAGAAGAGGAAAAGGTATTTGACACGGGCATTTGTGTGCACACAAACACAAACACATTTGTATGCATATTACTCATTTAGAACTTTGAAAATGCTAAGAGTCACCCTCGCTCTTTCTCCTCTGTCAGTTTCCCATCCAACCCGGTCGCCTCTCCCATCCATCAACTTTACTCCTTGGCCCTCACCCACTCGACACTCCAGTCTGAGCCTGCCCCCGTTCAGACCCCCAGCGAATTAAGGGAATCAACTACCTGCTCACCGGTCTGCCTGCTTCTTTTTTTCAAGATCTATGCTCTATCATAGCACAGCCACCAGAGTTCAAAAACATAAATCACATCAAGTCCCTCCTCTGCTTTGAAAGGGGGAAAAAAAGATAAAACAGCTTCATGTTTCATTTGGAATAAAAACCAAACTCTTCACTGTGGCCTCTGAGATTCTCATACTCAGGCCCTCTGAACTGTCACTATTCTGGAAACTTACAGACTTCTTTATGTTTCTGAAACATTCCAAATCCATTAATACCCCATAGCCTTTGCATTGGATTTCTCTGGCTGGAACACGCTTTCCTAGACTGTCTCAAGCCTGCTTCCTTTTCACCATACAGTCCTCAGCTCAGATGTCACCTACTCAGAAAGGCATTTCCTTACCATTTATTCAACGCCATTCTCACCTCTGTTCAGCTGCATTCTACCTCAAGGCCCTATTTAATTGTACCAGAGCATTGATCACTTGGGTGAAAGTTTCTGGTTTATTTTTGTAAAGGGGAAATAATTCTTTATAAATTATTAATATGATCTTGTTTTGCTCTCCGAAAATAAATCTTGCTTCTTTTCTAGAATCATCCACTGGCCCATAAGGATTAGTTCCTATTTGGTTTCACTGAGAAAGTCTTAGGCTGTTAGGCTTTGGAAATGCAAAGGCCAAGCTTTGGTCCTAAGAAAGGATTCTGTTTATTCCTGTACCCTTCCTCTAGCTTCTAAAGGAACGGGCTTTGTGGAGGAGCCCAAAGAGTTTTATATATGTGAGGAAAGTCCAGACAGAATGGAAAGTGGAGAAAGCCTGCACTTCCTAGAAACCCTTGGGGAGCTGTAGAAAGAAAGAGGGAGAAGAAGCCCATGTGTTTGGGTCTTCCTAGGAGAAAATCGCCACACAATAACCTTGGGGCCGCAGCTTAGCTGGGCAAGGGGAGACCCTGAGCTACACAGTTAGCAGATTCCCCTTGGCTTCTCGGTTGTGAGAACAGAGTTTAACTCTCAGAGTTGTCAAAGGAGGTGGTTGCGGGAGATGACCTTGGCACTGAGCAGGTGGCTTTGCATTAAGCGCAGCAAAGAAGATCTAGGCAGGACTGGAGGCTACTGTGGTCAAAACCTAAAGTTCCCTAGTGTGGGAAGTAACCAAGGACAATGAGCCCTCAGGGAGACCCTGGGCCCTGTGCCAGGCCAGAGGTGACAAAGAGACCTCAGCTATGAACTGCCCAACAGTCAGGTAGACAACTTGCCTTTGAGTGTTGATAATTCCTCCATTTTGGTGAGAAATATACTAAGAAGAGATGCTGAATGAGAATCTGAGCAACTGAGAACTTGATAGAACAATGCTTCTCGCAACTTCTGGCTTACCAGAGCTGAGTTAATAAATTCCAGAGAGGCCAAGGCTCCTTGAAGAGGGATGAGGCCTGGGTCTTGATATGTTTATGAAGTTCTCTACAAAAATATAACACCCATTCTCATTTGAGAACCACTTTCCTAGAGGAACTCTTGAAGGTATTTTATGGGATCCTTTCCAAGACGGCTGACACTTCTCATCCAATCACCCCGCCCCACCTCGGCTCCTCCCACATACTAGCTCTAAATTAAATTTCTATCCACACATTTTATGTTGAGCTAATTTTGCAATACCTTTAATTTAACTATTTACAACCATCTCCTTACAATTAGAATATATTCTTGATGAAAGTGATTACTTTCATGTTTACTGTTACGGCTGAACACCAGACATAGAATTGTGCCTGGCATAATAGTCAGAAATATCAAGAGCTTCAAAAATTTTTTATGGAAAAATAGAATAAAAAGATAATGTGAATTTTTCCATAGACTTTAATTTTTTTAGTTTATTTTCATTTCATTTGAAAGGCAGAGATAGAGAGATCTATCTATTGCTCTACTCCACAAATGCCTGAAACAGCTGGGCCTGGACCAAGCCAGGTGCCCATTACTCAATCTGGGTCTCCCACATGTGAGAGACCCAAGTACCTGAGTCATTAGCCGCTGCCTCTCAGAGTGAGCATTAGCAGAGCTGGATCAGAAACCGAGTAGCTGGGATTTGAAAGACCATGCAATACGGCATGTGGGCATTCCAAGACACAAATTGACTTCTGTGCTCAAAATGCCTGTCCCTCCACAAATTATTGAAGACACCCACTATTGCTTGAGAGACAGCCAATCTATTAATTAATTCATTAATTCATTAATATACACTACTTACTTATGGTAACTTTGAAACACGTATTACCATTGAGATAGCCAAAGAATTGAAAACTTGGAAATTCATGGGTTATGCATGTAGAGCCACCTGAGGAAGGCTACGGTACTCTCCTATCTGTAAACTGACTTGATGTGGTCACATGTCCCTCGGGCCTTTATGTTTCCAATGGTCATTCTGACATCCATCCTACCTCCACAATTCAAATTTATTTTTTCTTTTCTAGTGTATTTTTTATTCTAATTTTTAATTAGCTTTTAACAGACTCAATGTGATTTGTAGAGACAATTCTAAGAACATAATGATATTTCCTCCCTTCCTCCCTTCTCTTCCTCCCCCCTTCTTTCTTTTTCCCTTTGTCATATTTTTTAGCTTTTGAGATAACATCTTTTAAAATTACATTATGGTAAAATGGCTTAATACTTCACCAAATAGTAAGTTTAACAAGTAAAAACAAAAAGTAACAAGTAAAACCAAAAGACTCTAGATGATTGGGAATACAGATAATAGCTAAAAAGCTATAAACAATACTTGAATGGAAAAATGACCATTTCAACCATATGCAGTAAATTTTAAAGTAATCACAAATCATTAAAACTACAGTAGTATAACATTCTTAACCATTGGTTTGACAAAGGCATAAAACCATATTTGCAGCAACACTGATACATAGACATTTCTTTATTTTTTTTCTTATTTTTTAAATTTTAGCTCCCACATATAAAGGAGAACATGTGGCATCTTTCTGGGTCTGGCTTATTTCACTCAACATAATGTCTTCCAGTTAAGTCCATTTTGCTACAAATGGTAGCATTTCATTCTTTTTTTATAGCTGAATAATATTCCATCATGTACATATACCACATTTTCTTCATCCATCCATCTGTTGATGGACACCATGGTTGGTTCCAAATTTTGGCTATTGTGAACAGTGCTGCTATAAACAGGATGGTTCAGGTATTTCTTTGATACACTGTGTTGAAGTCTTTTGGGTATAAACCCTGTAGTGCGATTGCAGGCTCATATGGCAAGTCTATTTCTAGTTTTTAAAGAAATTTCCACACTGTTTGCCACAAAGGCTGCACTAATTTACATTCCCACCAACAGTGCATAAGTGTTCCCCTTTGTCCACATCCTTGTCAGCATTTGTTATTCTCTGTTTTGAATTTCACAAATATATGTTATATGTGAAAATCGAGGCAGGAGATTTCTGATCACATCACTGGAGATAATCACTGTTAGAAGCATTGTCTAACAATGTGGGTATATGTGTAACTGAGATTTTTCTCTCTGCTGTATCCTCAGCACTTAGAACAGTAACTGGAACGTAAGTGTTCAATCAATAAGTGTTGAGTGAATTAAGTCATGCATTCCATGTTTCTTCTCATTTGTTACCCACTTCAACAAGAGCTTCCTCTTACTTCAATCTTTATAGACCCTCAATTTTACCTTAGCTTTGACTCACAGATCTAATGTTTAGTTATTAATACATATACTTTTAATATTTTGACCATCCTTCTTCAACTCCAAATTGAACACAGAGCATTAAATTGGGCTGATCAAGCTGAGTGTGAAAGAGGAGAAGAGTCTAGAGCCAACATTTTTCTGTTTAGCAATCTAAGAATCTTTCTAAATTTTCAACAGCAGGATTTGGTAGTTCACTCATAGTAAGCCTGTGTTCCACTGAGACACCCAGATTTCCCCCATCTGCCTAGAGAGAAAGCCTCATTTGCTCTCTGCATCCAGGACTGGTCAACTGTTGGTGTTTTGCCTTTATCTTACCACATTTTCTTCTGCTTTTTCGCTCAATGCATGTCCATTTGGTGTTTTTTCCACTCTGAAGAAGTTTATACTTATCAGAACAAATTTGATGTTACTTTTCATCATTCAATTTTTAATTTAGCAACCCACAATTAAATAAACAAAAACACTCATGTCCTGGTTTTATTCTTCCAAGTGAAAATGTTCCAGCTCTAATTCAGTTTATAACTTGCCTATAAATCACCTGAGACAAATTGTTGTTACTTTCAATGGAGTCATGTGGCCTGTACCCTTTGATAAATATCAGGTGGAAAAAGAGAACACAAATTTTCTTACTTTAAAAATTCAAACTAAATTACACAAGAATATTTATGCACTATATATTTCACTAGTTTCCAAACTGGATGCCTTGTGCCAGTTTGAGATAAAAGGATACGTCAAACATGTAATTAAAAGATAAGTTTTTCTTGGTGCAAAAATGTTTGAAATCCATCCACAGTTTTTTCAAAATATGCATTTTCCATATTTTTTTGAGGATCCCATGTATTTTTCTCAGAATTTCCTTCTTGGTATCACTCTCGAGTTAGGCTTTTCTGCAGGAGGTATTTGCAGATCTGAAAGGCAAAGTGAGAACAGCCATATTCGCACTCTGGAAGTCAGCACAAGGACAAGCACTGCTGCGGCTCATGCCTGTTTCTCATCTGCTGGCTCACCTTGTTGGTTTAAAGCCGTAGCCAGGCCTGTGGCTCCTCCAGCTCCAATCAGATGGCTCCTTGAACATCTTCAACTTCAGTCAGAAATATGTGAAAGGTGCAGGTCACCAATGTCCCCAAAGCTGGCAACCATGGAATACAGATGCAGGTTCTAGTGTGTTCTCATGGGTACTGTTTTGTCAGCACAAATTCTAGATTTCCCTCAGGACTCAAATTTATCCTTTTCTGTTGCGTCCATTTTGTTCTTGCTTGATACACATTATTTCCCTCTGTCCTTCCCAACCTGAAGTTTTAAAACAACACTTATCTCACAGATACTGTGGGTCAGGAACTTGGGAGTATTTATCTGGGTTCTCTGGCTCATGGATTCTCACTAGGCTGCCATCAAAGTGTTGGCTGGGGCTGCAGTTTGATCAGAAGGCTCTGCAGGTGGAAGGATCTGCTTCCAAGATCACTCATGTGGTGGTTGGCATGATTTGGTTTATCCAAAGTAGTTGGGCTGAAGGTCTCATTTCCCCACCAGCTGTTGGCCAGGGACTCATGCCACATGGACCTATCTATAAAGAAGCTCACTTTGTGGGAGCCAGTTTCCATCAGAGCTGGTAGGTGGGTGAGCAAGAGAAGGTGAATAGGACAGAAGCAAAGTGACTTTGTTGTAATCTGATCTCATCACTTTTGTTCTATTTATTAAAAGGCAGTCTATGGGTTCGACCAACATTCAAGGGGGGGATGGTATAAAAATGCATGAAGATGATAAACAGGAATCACTGGAAGCCATCTTTGAAGTTACCCATGGCACCATTTCAAACTGAAATAGCAACCATCTTAAGCATGTGCTGTACATGTGCTCTTAAAAAAACAATTTCTAAGAATCTTAGGAAACTCTCTCAAAGCATCTTTACAAACAAGATTTGTGACCATGGTTGATGTCTAATGGAGTGAATTATTAATTCATCCATGGGAAATTGACAAAGGTTTTAAAGAAAATGTGTCCGTTTGGAACAAAGAGATAGAAATAAATTTTTAAGGCACTTCTAGCATCATACTTTTACAGGCAGGAAACTGGTTAAGAAGTCTATCCAGTTTCAAATCCTGGCTATACTTCATGGAAAAGGAAGAATGGTTCAGAAGGCAGAACCAAGAATTAAGATGGCACAGACAAGACCTATAAAAAGAAATTAACAGGATATAAAATTGAGCCCTGTGCAAAGAAATGGCAACATGTGTCAGGCTAGATTTCAAAATTAGCATAGACTAGGGATTGCTTTGTGCCTCCCATTTTCTCTCTCTGTTTATGTTATGTGCTTATTCCCTGCTCAGGTCTCCATCCAATTTTGAGTGTTGAGGAAAACAGCAACTTTTTTTACTCATTTCAGATCTCAAAAAATGACATGCAACAATTATGGGTGAGGGGTGTCAACCACAGCTGAATTGGATTTAGATGACAAGGTCCTGGAGCTTAAGCTCAGACCTGATGATATCCATAGGGAGGCTAATGGGAGGGAATCAATTTGTTTTGCATATGGGAGTGGTGTAAGTAAGATGTGGCCAGGTAGTAGACTGTGGCAATTTTAAAACGTGTTTTCAAATTCTTTGAAACTGCCTTCAGTAATAAATAAAGTTTATGTTCCCTTCTCTCAAATCTGGATAGGTCTGTGTTTCTACCAGTTGGGTATGGCAGAAGTGATGTTATGTGACTTCTAAAGCTAATCCATAAAGGATAGTGCAGCTTCTGCTTTGTTGGACAGAATAATGGGTTTTTGAAGCGCTGTACTGACATAAAATGAGTCTAATTTAAGGATGTCATGAGATGGGGAATGCAAGTCATGGAGAAGACATGCGTAGGGATCCAGGTTCAGTTCCACCTGGTCTCTGAGTAGATCTAGCCCAGGTATGAGATATGTCAGTGAATAAGATGGCAAATAATTCCAGCCAACAGCCATTGAACCATTTCTCAGTCTGTAAGTTTTCCCACCTGATGCTGTAGCTCCTTGCTATGTGTTTTCAAAATTCTTTGACCACAGAGTCTATGAAAATAACAAAATGGTTATTTTCAGTGACTAAGCTCTGAAGTAAATTGTTTCAAGGTCATGTAACACAATCCCAGCCAAATTGTGAATGAAATATATACTTGATGCCAATACTTCACTTTTAGTGCAGTCAATAGACAACATGTTTATAATTATTTTTGAATATTGTATGAATGAGATCATGCACATAAATACTTCTAGTATAATGTTTGAAAACAAAGAACAAGGATTTACCATTATGTCCAGTGAAATAGATGTAGATATTTATTTCCAAATTATTATCAATAACCTACTAGTAATAATATTTTAGCCCAAAGCTTCAAGTCTTTAAGTTACAGATGAGTAAAGAAGTGATTTACTGTTCAAGGTCAAGGGAATCTAGGCAGAGCTGGAATTCAAACTCAGATCTTACTTGATGCTACATCTCTTCTCTTTTACTACCACATTCCACTCCTTCTAATATTTGGAGATGATTAAGAAATGACAATCAAGAAAGACAATAAAGAAAAAAGCTCAAGAATGAAAAATTAGCTATATTCCCCAGAAAAGAGAGATTAAGAATGATTTAATGATTAGGAATACGATAGAGTTGTACATATAGGGATAAATTCTATGTTTTCTAGTGTGTGTGTGTATCTTCTTAATTCATAATAATTAAAATTTAAGTTAGTCTAATGAAGCACTTCATTTTGGTGAGAATGAACCCTTCATCTTATACACTGAAGTTTGATCAACACTTTTTACTTATGTAAAAGAAAAAAGAATGACAAACACTGGATTTAATTGGTACAATTCTGCATACAGATAACAGTATTACATAAAGTTTTAAGAACTGAATGCTTATTAAGGCCCCTTTAATTTTAATGAATACAGTAACTGTAGCTCTCATCTGTGCAGCATTAATTATTTTGCAGATACCAGGCAAATATAATCCTCAATACAAGTCTCTAAAATAGATATTACTTTGTTATGTATTCTTCTACAAGTAAGAAAGCTGGCACTCAAAAAAGGACAGGACATTTCCCAAGGTCACCCAGCTAGGAAATAGTGGAGTTAGGATTTTATGATGCTTTAATCTCTCATTTACGTATCTTTATAAAATACTCAAAAGGAAGCACACACACAAAAAAATCCTGTGTGAGGATCTCATGTTGATATGGCCAATCATAGGTAGAATAAACCTGTAGTATCCTAAATTGGTTTTTATTTCTGTATAGGAAGGGCTTTTTTTAAATTGTGACTACTGATCTCCTTTGAGAATATCATTGCTATTATAACTGTACAGTTCTAATATCCGTCCAATACATATATTTCCTACCTTTTGGTAATCTTAAAATATATACATGGAAAAACATACAGTACAAACCAAATGCAAATAAAAATCTTTAAAAAATCTTAGAAATTCTTGAAGCAGGTTAATTCTATTAAAAATGGTTCTTCTATGTACAATACTTAATCTTTAAAAATACTACACCAGGAAACAAAAGCTCTTTGGTTCAGCAGACAGATTCTAAATGTAAAAATTCAACTTGTGAATGATGTACCTTCTTGGTTTGGGCCTCCCTTATCTCACTTACAGGACACATTTAGCTGACTTTCTCTGCGTGACACAATCATAGGTGGGAACTGAGCAGAGGCTGCTTTGCACAAAGACCATTATCTGAGGAAATTATCGCCAGAAGCGTGAGGAAGGCCTGACCCTAAATGCTATTTTCCCTCTGCTAATTAAAAAGATCGAGAAAGTTCTGCTTCCACCCTTTGCGAAAGGAGGTAAGGGAGCAGTCATAGTCAGCAGATAGTCTGCACTTTCCTAGTCAAGTTCTCAAGGACTGGGGTCCAGCGCTCCTGAGACCCTCCTGTGGGTTATCTGAAGATTGCAAGGAGGAGGGCAGATGCTAAAATCCCATCACGTCTCGGTGGCTAGCCTGCCTTAACAGTCTAAACTCACAAACACATCTATGACTCAAACGTCTTTAAAAAGAGCTGTTCACTCGGCTGTAATCACAGTGCATCAACATTTGCCAGGGAGATTTTCATTAAAAATTAACTATGGTTGTTCTATACTTCTTTTGGTTTATTAATAGCAGTAATCACAGAACTGGCAAAAATATCTCCGAGTTTCAAGGAGTCAGCAACTTTACCTATTAGAATTCATTCTCTCCTACATATAATGGCAAGGTAGCCATTTACAATTTTTTTCCAGGCTATTTTTCACTCTGATTGGGAAAACATTTCAATATATTTGATAAAACCTTTCCAAAGTCTCAAGATTTAATCACACATTACAACCACCTTTAACAAGATTTTTGAAGCCTCTGAAATATCACAGCTCATCACAGGAAAAAGAAAAAGAGTTTTTGCTTTGGTTATTTTTTCTAACTTCCCCAAATGAATATATATTTATATGATTGGATTAATTGGCTCTTTTATTTAGGAAGAGATACTACTGACTAACACTCAAATTTGCCTTTTCTCAGACTGGTATCAGAAGCGAATTAACATTTTCCTAGGTTGAATGCAGGTGGAAGTCAAGGACATCCGCTGAAAACCATGATTTCTGGAGACCACCTTTTCAAGATGCCATAGTGCTGAAGCAGAGAAATCTTCCAGATTGCACTCGCGTTCTTCCTACTTGCATGACTTGGCTGTTCAAAGGCAAGATCACTTTAAAGTCTTAATCAGGACAGAAAGAAGAGTGTGACTGGGAAGAGGCGATCGATTATAGAGAAGACTATACTTAAGCAAAAATAGGTCTGACTGTGGAAAGGTGAATGGAATAGCCTTCAATCTTTGGAAAAAGGCAGAGAATGAAATACATGAAAATTCACAGCATCTAAACGAGACATGATAGGACAGACCCACATCCCTACCACTCTTCTCAATCTCCTGCGCAGGGATTTCTTTTCTGTAATGGTCTTCCAAAAGATATTATAAATACTCTGAAGAGAAAATAATCAGTGTTGGATTACTGGTCTTTCGAGTCTTCTTCTGTAGTGTCTAGGCCGTAATCATCTCTTCTTCCATCAGAAGTCTTTATCCCAGCCTGAAAGTTCATCTGGAGGCACTCCCTTTTCAGGGGGATACTTGTCAAAGTAGCTGTGATCGATAGGTCCACTGAGCTAACACAGAAAGGATTAAAACAAAGGTGAGGATAACGTAGACTCCGCATGCTCTCATAGGTAGTATTGCATTTTGTGACTGAATACTGATTTCACACTGCAACCACTTGTAAGTTACACACAAGGAAAAGAAAAACAACTAGCACCCTGAAATACCATCTCTGCCTTATGAGATCTCCCTTTTAGAACTAAAGGATTTGATCACTGGATTCCATATGAAAGGAGCTACTCAGCATGAGGAGTTATTTCCTAAAGAAAAAGTGACAAAAATCAAGTCTAATTTTTCTCAAATTCTAAAATATTTGAAAAGCAAATATTAAAAAAAAATCAAAATTTACCAGAATTCTTTTTCTTCTTTATAAAAGTTTCTTGAATTTTCTTATGGCCAATTGATCTATGTAAGGATCCAGAATGCGAAACAAAGGGACAATTCAAAGTGTTAATGACCCCAATGAAAACATGAAATGACTCTAGGATTCAATGGTTTGGCAAATCAGGTAGTTTCTGATTCTTTATCTTCAACCAAACTTAGGTAGTACCTAATTGTATCACCTGCTGAAAGAGTGTTAGAAATAAATTCTATTTCTGGCTTCCTCTTGCTATAAGTGGCCTGAGGTGACCTGTGAAAATGGCTGCTACTCATTTTACCCAGAAAACCCCATAAAATGCAAATCAAGAGGTCTGAAACTTCATGTTCACTGTAAGAACACCCATGAGACTTGAACAGGACATGAAGAAAATGCATCTAGGAAAAGCCACTAAGGAATCTTCCAGATGTCACATTAAAGAAGCAGTATGTGCCACTCTATTGTTACAATGACGGAGTTGGCCGGTGTACCCAGGCCAGACAGGGGGGCTAGATACAGGGTTGGTGGCCCATAACAGTGCGAAGTTTTTGCTGCACATTCTTAAAAATTCAGACAGTACTGTTGAATTTGAAAGTTAGAAGTAGATTCTTTGATCACTGAATGCATACAGGTGAACAAAACACCCACAGTGTACTGCTGCAGTCATGGAGCTGGTGTTGGATTAAGCCATACAGGATCTCCCCCGACCCACTGCCACGATTCCTACTGAAATGGAACACTTATCCTAAACCAGAGAAAGTGCACAGAAGAGAAGGACATCCCAGAAGAAACCAAAGAAACAAAAACTTCAGCAAAAAATATGTGCAAACAAGAGCAGTAAAAATAATAATTATAATAGATACTAATGTTTTGGGGCAGTGAGGGGAAAGACCATTCAAATGGAGCTCAAAATGACATAGTTATAATAAAACTCTTCTTTCTTGCTTATACAAGGGGTCTTCAAAAAGTTTGTGGGAAATACTTTATGAAAAAGTTATACACAGATTTCAATCTTTTTACACCAAAAAACAAACTTACCTTTTAATTTAATTTTTCCATTTAATTTAATATATATGAAGTATCATATATTATTTATATATTTTATGTTTATATTTAATTTATAGATATATCTATAATTTATAATATATAAATTACAAATTTTTATAGATACATTTATAAATAATATATATTGACACTGCATGCTCTAAAAATAATTATAAATGTAGTTATAACTAAGTCCAAATGAAATATTTGTAAAATTAAAAACATTAAACTAAAATTTAAAGGTATTACAGAGTGACTAAGAAAGACTATCAACCAAACAAGCATTTGACATTAGAATGAAATTTTAGGGGAAAATGGAATAGAAATATAAGGAGAAAAATGAGTGATGTTATATTTATATGTTTTTAAATGACTGATTGGTATCAAATCTCAACAGTACTTGGGTTATATAGTAAATATATCTGAGGAATGACGTAATAGTGATATTTTAAAATGTTAATATTTATAAAATACTGGAAATTAAATTCTTTACAGCTATTTAAGCTTTGATTCAAACAAACCCTCGGATGTAAATGTACACATGTTCACGAGGAGACACAGGTTTTCACAAGTCTATTAGAAAGAACACCAGCAGGGGTCGATGTTCCGGCATGGCAAGTGAGGCTACTGCCTGGACCGCTGACATCCCATAAAGATGCCAGTTCTTATCCCGGCTGCTCCAATTCTGATCTAGGTCCCTGATAATCTTTGGCTTTGGGCTGGCCCAACCCTGGCCATTGCGGCCATCTGGGGACTGAACCAGCAGATGGAAGACCTCTCACTGTCTCTGTCTCTCCCCTTTCTCTCTGTAACTGCCTTTCACATAAAACAAATAAATTTTAAAACAAAAGAGTGAAAGAGAGAAATGAAAGAGAGAGGAAGGGAGGGAGGGAGGGGGAGGGGGGGAGGGAGGAAGGAAGAAAGGAAGGAAGGAAGGAAGACCAGCATAACGTGGGGGGATATTGACTTCATTCCTGACTCATCCCTCATCTTTCCCCCCAAGTTAGTTGATGTTCTGCCTTCTCTAGAAGTTCCCTGTCCAATAAGGCAGCCGTCAGCAACACATGGTGACTGAGCACTTGGGGCCAGCGTTGTAGCATAGTGGGTAAAACCACCGCCTGCAGTGCCGGCATCCCATATGGGCGCCGGTTCGAGTCCCAGCTGTTCCACTTCCAATCCAGCTTTCCTATGGCCTGGGAAAGCAGTGGAAGATGGTCCAAGCCCTTGGGCCCCTGCACCCATGTGGGAGACCTGGAAGAAGCTCCTGGCTCCTGGCTTCAATTGGCCCAGCTCCAGCTGTTGCAGCCATTTGGGGAGTGAACCAGCAGATGAAAGACCTTTGTCTCTCCCTCTCTTTCTCTCTAACTCTGCCTCTCAAGTAAATAAAAATATCTTTAAAAAAAAGAAATGTGTCTCACCCAAACTGATGTGCTCTAACAGTTAAATTCATTGGGATTTGGAAATTTAATATGAAAAATTAAATGCAATTTATCAATATTTTATATTGATTATATATTGAAATGATAATATTTTGTAAACATTATGATCAATTATTTAAATGAATCCAATTTACTTACTTTTATCTTTTAAAAAATGTGGCTAGTGGAAAATTTTAAAATTATGTAGGAGAGGGCAGGCATTGTGTACAGTGTGTCAAGTCGCTGCCTGGGACACCAGCATCACATATGGGTGCAGGATCATCTCCCAGATGCTTCACTTCCCATCTGGTTCGCTGCTAATGGCCCGGGAAAAGCCACAGAAGACGGCCCAAGTGTTTGGGCCCCTGCCACCCACCTGGGAGACCCAAATGAAGTTCCTGGCTCCTGACTTGAGCTTGATATCCAGCCCCGGCCATCGCAGCCATCTTAGGGGTAAAACCAGAGGATGAAGGATGTCTCTCTCTCTCTCTCTCTCTCTCTCTGTGTTTCTCCCTAATTCTGACTTTCAAATAAATAAATAATTTTTTTTGGACAGGCAGAGTTAGACAGTGAGAGACAGAGACAGAGAGACAGAGAGAAAGGTCTTCCTTCTGTTGGTTCACCCCCCAAAATGGCCGCTATGGCCGGCGCGCTGCACTGATCTGAAGCCAGGAGCCAGGTGCTTCCTCCTGGTCTCCCATGCGGGTTCAGGGCCCAAGTACTTGGGCCATCCTCCACTGCACTCCCGGGCCACAGCAGAGAGCTGGACTGGAAGAGGAGCAACCAGGACAGAATCTGGCACCCCAACTGGGACTAGAACCCGCGGTGCCAGCACCGCAGGCAGAGGATTAGCCTAGTGAGCCGCGTTGCCGGCATGGGACCTCAGACTTTTAGAAGCAATTCTGCACCTGTTATTTCCCAGACATGCTCTCTGGGCCTGTAGCATCATAAGGTGGATTGCAGTGAGAACACTCCTGGTGGAGGGCACACGGAGGCCCTCTGTCTGAGAGACAAAGTGTGAGAAGACACACCTCTGGCTGAAGCAACCTCACTGATCCTCAAGTCCCGGGCCACAGCAGAGAGCTGGACTGGAAGAGGAACAACCGAGACAGAACCAGCACCCCAACTAGGACTAGAACCCGGAGTGCCGGTGCCACAGGCGGAGCATTAGCCAAGTGAGCCATGGTGCCGGCCTAAATAAATAAATCTTTAAAAAAAATATGTAGGAAGGAGGGTCTTCAAAATGTTCTGGAAAACACATATTGTAAAAGAAAGCAAGCCTGGATTTAAATATTTTTTTTGCACCAGCATAAAGTTAACTTTTAATCCCATTGTTTCCCACAAAATTTTTGAGTACCCTTATATGTGGTTCACATTTTATTTCTAGAGCTATCTTTCAAGTTGAGCAACGTTGACTATTTTGGGACTTTGGTGGCACGGGCATGTAATAGGTTCCTGAGAAGTGAGCTAATACCCATCAAATAGGCAATACTACTTAGCCGCTGCAATTATAATTCCTGACAGTTTCTCTTAATTAAGGAAAAACTACTGGGGCTGGTGCTGTGGCGTAGCAGGTAAAGTCACCTCGCCTGTGGTGCTGGCATCTCCTACGGGTGCCAGTTCAAGTTCCAGCTGCTCCACTTCCAATCCAGCTCTCTGGGAAGATGGCCCAAGTCCTTGGGCCCCTGCAACCACATGGGAGACCCAGAGGAAGCTCCTGGCTCCTGACGTCAGATTGGCCCAGCTCCAGCTATTGAGGCCATTTGGGGAATGAACGAATCAGCAGATGGAACTCTCCCTCTCTCTCTCTCTCTCTCTCTCTCTCTCTCTCTGCTTCTGCCTCTCTGTAACTCTGCCTTTCAAATAAATAAATAAATCTTTTTCAAAGAGATTTTTAAAAGCTGTTACAAGCCACCTAAATATACCACTTACATGCATGTGTATGCGCACATACACTCCTAAAACGTGCTCACAACAACTAATCTCCACCCCCCAAATCAAGAGAGTAAAATATTAAATACCATACCTCTCTTCGTAAGGGTGATGGAAGATTCCGCGCTTTCAATCCCTCCCAATTAAAGCCATTTAACCACCTGGGAAATGAGACAAGTACAGAGGAGATGACTTACTTGATAACGTATTAGAATGTCAGGTAATCTGTCAAGGAATTCCGCGGCAGGCTCCCTGCCTGCAACAGTGCAGCTCTGAGTGACCAGAGGGAAACACACAGCCATCCTGGCTGGCTGTCACATTAACTCCATGCCCACTGTCCTCAAGTGAGTATTTAATGCAGCTCAGTACTAACTCTAGTTTTCCCATCATACTTCCTTGGGCTAATTCACTCTCTGCCTCCCCCTCCCCAAACTTAGAACTTCCTTCCAATACTCAGCCCCAAGAGATGATCTGACCTCCTATTTCTTTGAGACAACTGAAGCAAAAAGCAAATCTCCACAATCTCCCACCAGCATCTCTGCCCACCTACCCACATCCGTGAGTGACCTTCTCTCTATATGATGAATTAATTGCCTTTGCTTCTACTGAAGATCAATCCTTATACTGTATACTTGATTCCAATACCTCTTCTCTTTGCAAAAACATACTCCTATAGTTCTCATTCCTGAATTTTCAATGCCCTGCCTGCTGGATCAACCCCAGCCACACAGAAATGCTTTACTTCTTCCAACAACAAAACACCCTCCCTTGACCTGAGTTCCCCTAGGACTCTCATTCCTGCCCACTAGAGAACTCCTGGAGCTGTCTAATCACCTGATATACTGACTTTCTCCTGAGCAATTACACAATCAGGTTTCATATCCTCCACTCCACGGAACCACCTCACTTCCCCTGTCACCTTATTTGACCTTTTAGCATTTCCTGCAGTTCATCGTTCTCACTTTCTGAAACACTTTCTTTGGCTTTCGAAGCCCATTGTTGTCCAGGTTTTCTTCCTCCCTTCTTGGGTTCTTTCCTCATTTGCCACTGCTCTTTCCTCATGAAGTTGGTGCACTCCAAGGCTCACTCCTTGGGTCTCTTCTCTTTCCAACTACTTCCACTCTCTAGGTAGTCTCATTCGGTCTTATGTTTTTAAATAGAATCTCTGTATTTATTCCTCCTAAAGGTCTATTTCCAACCAAGACCTCCTCACTGATTTCCAGGCTAACATCTGTAACTCCTGTTCATCATCTCCCGCCTGCATGTGCAATAGGCAGCTAGCATATGTTAGGTCCAAATTAGAGCTCCAAATTTTGTCCAGCAAACTTGCTTCAACCTTCCAGTTGCTTAAACCCAAGGTAATGGAGTTATTCTTTCTCTCACATCCTCCCTCACTCCACAGGCAAATCCTTTTAGTACTACCTTCAAAATGTATCTGTATTCACGATCTAACCAATCCACAAAATTTTCATTCTGCTAGAATAAAGACAGCCTTTTGCTTTGTCCTTGGGCAAAAACTGAGCAGCAAGGGTTATCATTTAAAATGCAACCAGTTCCCACAAAACTCCCCAGGATCATCCATGTGACTCAGTGCAAGAGGCCAAGTCTTTGCCATGCCTTTATTTTCACCTCCCACGTGTTACCGACCCACTCTTCCCATCACCACCCTCACATCATCTTCCCACCGTCTTCCTTGTCTTTCTCTGTCTCCCTTCCTCATTTATCTCCTCACCATTCTTTCAACAAACCAGAAATGCCCCCCCCCCCCGCCCCTTTAAGGACTAGATTTGTTCCCTTCCTGGATTTCCACATGGCTCCGACCTTCAACACACACAGGTCTTTCATCTAAGGTTGCCTTTTCTGCGAGGTCTTTTTTGGCCATCAAACCTAAAATCGCAACCCCTCTTCCTTCACACACACACACTTCTTCAGCCCCCACCACTTCCACGTTTCTCCTTGGCACTTCCCACTGTCTGATATATTACTTAGTTATCTTAGTTTTTCCCTTCCCCCCTAGACTGCAGCCTCCATGAAGGCAGGAATGTTCGTCTCTTTTCTATCTTTCAATGCCTTTAAAATTTGGGGCAGTGCTTCTCTCAGGACAGGGACTCTGGCAGTGTTTGTTGAATGACTAATGTGTGATGAGAAGCCATTAGAATGTTCTAGTCTTAAAGAGATGATTCTGACTGCTATATGGAGAATGAGCACCGGGTCTGGGATGGCGCAGGGAGGTGAAGGGTTGTGTGTGGAAAGGCAGGGAAGCTTTTAGGAGGCTCGGACATTCCTCTGTCAGTCATGTGGGAATTTACACTCTTCTCCCTTTCTCTCTCTTCTCACCTCCGGAGTTGCTTTTAGTTCAATCTTTCGCAGGATTTCCTATTCTAAGTCTAAGCTTAGCAGTGGCAAAAAACTAAAAACAGAGAGCGCACTCTCTGACACATTTCTTTCTAGATGCCATTCTTTATGCCAAGTGCCATTTTAGTGGAAGGTACCAGAACCTCAGTCAAGGAGTGAGTGCCAGACAGAAGTCCAGCTGCTTTACCTCCCTCCTCTGCCCTTGCTGTGAAACCACAGAAATCCCCTCCCTACGCACCCATCACATCTGCAACAAACCAATGCTGCATTTGTAGCAGCTTCTAGATGCACAGTTCGTTTTTTTTTTCCGCCACTAAATACAACAACAGTTCTTTTTAACGTGTCTCTCAATGATGTCTACCCAGAAGGTAGTCCACAAATGAATAAAAACGATTACTGTAACCCTCTATTGAATCACAGGGCCTGTGCATTTTTTTGCAGAGTACATGTTAGACTTTGTAATTACTTAACATGAGTGGCCAAGTGGCCATTCACTTGACACTTGGCCTTGGACACTAAGCACATGTTCAGCAACTGTGAGCCAGCATTCACTTGTGTGTGAAAAGTAGTCACCAGAGAAATATTAGTAGTAATGGTGCAGAAATTATTCCTTTGTTTGTGGAAGTCTTATAGAGGCTATCCTTGAAAGCCATTTCAGAGATCAAAAAATATTTTAGATGATAATAAAATACTGGAAACAAGTTATTCCTCTTCCTCTCAGGAAAGATTGAACCAGACCCTGCAAGCACAGTCGTTCCCTTTTGAAACAAGAGTCAGGAGACTCTAACAACTCGACTTCACTGCAAGTTAGTTTGTAAACAGGAGGGAGAGGAACTCCATAATTATTTTTAGGAAATATGATTTAACACAGAATGGATAAACCCCTATAATATGCCACATTGGATTTTTGTTAAATACAAAATGAGGTAAACAGCCCTCTAAGGGAAAAAAAAAAAAGTGTTACTTTAGAGTAGGAAAATGTGATGGCAACTTTAAAAAGAATTTCTTTTTAACTCCAAAACTATACTGACTTGAAAAGCTATAAGCCGGCGCCGCAACTCACTAGACAACCTCTGCTTTGCGGCGCCGGCACACCGGGTTCTAGTCCCAGTCGGGGCGCCGGATTCTGTCCTGGTTGCCCCTCTTCCAGGCCAGCTCTCTGCTGTGGCCAGGGAGTGCAGTGGAGGATGGCCCAAGTGCTTGGGCCTTGCACCCACATGGGAGACCAGGAGAAGCACCTGGCTCCTGCCTTCGGATCAACGTGGTGCGCTGACCGCAGCGTGCTGGCCACGGTGGCCATTAGAGGGTGAACCAACGGCAAAGGAAGACCTTTCTTTCTATCCCCCTCTCTCTCTCCCTGTCCACTCTGCCTGAAAAAAAAAAAAAAAAAAAGCTATAAACCTTGAAGGCTTCTTAAAAAAACTTCTATTTGGAGGCAGAAAAAGGTCTATTGTTCTGAAATCCTCGACTCCTCCCTTTATAGCTTCATAAGCACCATGAAAATAGAGTGAAATAATGGGCTGGAACTCTTCGCGCTCAGCATAAGCCACTGTGTAGACGTGTGCACCTTCATTAACTCTCCCCTGGACTCCTGCACCCAGGCTCCACAAGGACTCAGGACTGAGACAATCCTGCCAGTACTAACAACAAGCAAACCAATCCCTACAGAGAAAGAAATTAAAATTCCTTTCTGACCATGCAGAGGTGAGAAAATCTTTTAGCATCCATTTGCGTGTGGGTCACAATCTGACAGCTACATTGAAATGAGCCTTGGGTAAATAAGAAGTAAAGGACAAAGCTGCAGCCTGTTAGCACGGCTATCACTTCTGTTTCCCAATTACCCTAGAGTAAAACATAACTCTTCTTTAATGAGGGACGTGGGAAATCCACTGAAAGAGCGACTTGCATTGATGGGAGCCTTCTGTCTACAGAATGAATGGTGTGTCTATGTGTCATTTGATAGTGAGAAAAATGATGGTGACAACAGCAAGTCATGCAGGAAGAGGATAAACTGGAATCCAACACAGTAATGAACTTTATGACTGGGGGCAATCAAAAGGATGACAACAATGAACACTAAAATACTAGGAGATGTGCATGTCTAAGAAATCCACCATGTGTCTCTGCTCCTTCCCCTCCTCCTAATTTCCCTCCTCCACTTCTTCTTCCTGACGCACCCTGAAGGCAGAACTCCAATGAATTTACAATGTGAAATACACAGTTGTATTTCAAGTAAGTTCCTGTCTATGCACAGCAGCGCTGGAAGCTCATGCCCAGCCACAGCTACTGAGGAAAATGAATAATGGTTCTGTTCAGCAGCCACACCTCTCCTCTATGCGCCCACTGGGCTGATGCCCTCCTGATTCTTCCGTGAAAATATCTATCTGGGGATGAAACGTCGAGAGAGATTTTTATTTCTAAAAGGGATTACATCAATGTCATCCAAATGTACATCCAAATGTAATCCAATGTACATCCAAAGGTTTTCAATGTTGAAGCTACCAAGCTTATTTCTTGTAGTACACATTGTACTCTTAGAAGTGGCATTTTTGGCCGGCGCTGCGGCTCAATAGGCTAATCCTCCACCTGCGGCGCTGGCACTCCAGGTTCTAGTCCCTGTTGGGGTGCCGGAATCTGTCCCGGTTGCTCCTCTTCCAGTCTAGCTCTCTGCTGTGGCCCAGGAGTGCAGTGGAGGATGGCCTAAGTGCTTGGGCCCTGTACCCGCATGGGAGACTGGGAGGAAGCACCTGGCTCCTGGCTTCAGATTGGCACAGCATGCTGGCCATAGCAGCCATTTAGGGGGTGAACCAATGGAAGGAAGATCTTTCTCTCTGTCTCTCTCTCTCTCTTTCATTGTCTAACTCTGCCTGTCAAAAAAAAAAAAGTGGCATTTTTATATTCACAAATCCTACACAAAATGAAAATGTTTTGATGATTGCAGGATTTAGCTAGACACTGATTAAAAAAAAAATCTTGAAGGCTTGATATGCCACATGTGATACTTAATAAAATCAGAGAATATGTGCTACGGAATTATCATTGTTTCAGAAGGCCAGTTCAGAAACGTACAAAACTAGAAAGGCACATGCTAGATTGCTGCATGAGGATAGGGCATTACTTAAGGTTCCGTGCAATCCGCGTACTTTATTTCAAAAAGTAAAATAAAAAAAATGAGGCTTCACACTTTGGAAAGTTAGATTTAAAATGAATAAATAACATTAATTAAAATTGAAATACAAAATGCATGCTCATCAACTTACAATGGGTCATGTCCTGGTAAGCCCATCATAAGTTGAAAATATTCTAAATTGAAGGTGCATTGACTCCACCTAAGCTACCTAACATCACAGCTGAGCAATACAACACACTAGAGCATCGGTCTTTCAACTCCCTTTGTGAACTTTGGGCTGCGTGGGAGCTCTGGCTGCTACTGCAGTCCAGCACCATGAAAGTGGAGTATTATACTTCATATCACCAGCTTGGGAAAGGATCTACATGCAAAATTCAAAGTGTGGCATCTTCCGAATGTGTTTCATTTTCACATTAATTACTAAGTTGAACCATCTTAAGTCTGAGACAACCTGTATTATTTAACAATGGTTTTAGCTGACCCATTATCTTGAATATTGACACCAATGACTAATACGCCTTTATTTACAAATTAAATGCCCATTAGAACTTAATTCATCAACAGAATCTAGTAATAAAGCTAGTAATAAAGATAGTAGTGGATAAAAAACTAGATTGCAATGACCTCAAGATATGATTTTGTAACTTGTTTAGGAACTTTACTCATTGATTTCTAGCATTACAGAAATCACTTTGAGATAAATTACTGTAACTACTTCTAGTAAAACAGAAAAAGGCACCAAAAAGGGGGGAAATAAGTCTCCATAGGAACCCTTCTGGTTTACTGAGAGAAGCTGTTAAGGATTCAAAATTATGCTATAAGTTTCTATATTTTTATAGGCAAAGAACAAGTAACTATGTACCTGTGTTTCTTAATGTCATTGATTCCATTCTTCAGATTTCCCAGTCTTTCTGTTGGGTTTTGCCTAAAACAATAATTTTTAAAGCTAGTTTTAATAATTATACTTGAGTGAATTATACATTGAAATTTAAATTTGGCTCATTAATTAATTTATTCAATAACATTCATAAAATTTCTGCTGTAGACCAGGTATCTGAATATAGAGAAATTAAAACAACAGGGTCTCTTCCTTATGGGGAGTGGGAAGTGGGAGCACAAGTGAATTAGAGTTATATATTCCTAACAGAAGCACAGGAGGGTGCTATCTTGCCAATCCAGCTGAGAAAACCTGGGAAAGCTTTAGCGAATCATTAACATCTAAGCTGGAATCTAAGAAGCATGCAGAAATTCCTATTAGCCAACTTTATAATGCTTTGTCAAAAGTTCAAATGCACAAAAATATCAGCAAAATGAGGTATAGACAAAAAAAATCTAAAAGTGGCATTGGTTAAATAGGAAAGTGTCCTATTCCTTGATAAATGATTTTTAATAGTAAGTAGAAATCGGGGGGTAATTTAAAAGAGGAATATTCTTTTTAAAATGAAGATGGAAAGAGGATATATAATATTTTATCATCATCACTGATTTTGTCTTGAGATAGTAAAACTATAAATTAATCACCCAGTTTTTAAACGGAGGTTTGTGGTTCTGTTTTGCTCTATGGCAGATGAAGATGATTCCCACAGGTAACCTGTAAAATTTAGACCTCTTAAAACTATTAGATACTGTGGTTCTATAACATGAGACAAACTCAAACTCCTATCTCAGATAGCAAAATAGATCCTGACTGTCTAATATAATTCAGCTACGGAGAAATGTACCAAAAGTAAGCACGGAATTTAAAACCATATGGAAACAGAAACTGGAAGCCTCTGTGGTGTCTCCAGGACAAGAGGTTACTTGTCGTCATTCTCACCTGCAAAGCCTCCGGATCAAATCCTCAGGTCGTCTGGTTATCTTTCTAGGAAAATCCATTTTTTCAATTCCTTTGAGAATCAGGTTATAGGTCATCATTTGGTCAATCCCAGAAAAGGGTGGGCTAGAGAACATTCAAAATAAGACAGGTTCAGGTCAGAGTCGGAGACACATTGGGAGCTACCTTGCTTCTTCCTTCTTTCCGCCCTACCTCCATTATTTCCTTCTTTCCTTTCTGTCTCTCTCTTTCCTTAGTAGTTTTAAAAAACGTGAATGTATGCCAAAAGTCAATTCACAAATTTCGCATCACTTAACCAATGTCACACACATAGGAGGGCACTTCAAACAGTTTGTGGAAAAATGGAATTGAAAGGTAACTTTAGTTCAGTGCAAAAAAATTGAAATTCATGCAGAATTTCTTAGGTAGTGATGAGCACTGAAAAGAAAAATAAAAGAGGGAACAGAGAGTAACCAAAAGTGTGATTTTTTTAAAAACAGAGTGAAAAGAAAATGCCTTTCTCATGAATATTGAAAATGGAGCAGAGGTGTTGGTGGAAACAGAGAGTGGCTGAGCCACACAGTAATCTGTGGGCAGAGGGCTCCAGCACAAGAAGTACAAAGGCCATGTCCCAGAAGTGGAGCAGTGAGATGGGCAGTGTGGTCACTGCACTAAGCAGCAGAGGAACACAAGGGTCAAGGGCAACATCATACAGATCTGGTGGCCTATGGTAAGAATCCGGGATTCTATGAATGTTGGTCTAATTCACAGCAGCCAGAGTAATCTTCATAATTTGTGGAGAATGAACTGGGATGATGGAGATGAGGATGGAAAGAAGGCCTAAGAGCCTGGACTAAAACAGTGGTGCCGTAGGTGGTGGGCCATGGATAGACAAAGGATCTCTCCAGAACAGGCAATGGTCAGAAAGCTGTGTCTCCCAAATTCATATGGTCACACTCTAACCCAAAGCAATGGTATTCAGAGGCAGGGTTTGTGGGAGGTAACTTGGTCATGAGGGTGAGGGCCTCATGAGTGGTGTCAGTGTCTCCCTAAGACAGGCCAGGGAGCTGACTGGCTCTCTTTCCACCATGTAGGGATCAGAGGAGAGGTTGGTATTCTATAGCACAGAAGAGGGCCCTCACCAGAACCTGAGCAGTTTGGCACCCTGATCTGAGACTTCCAGCCTCCAAATGAGAAGTAAATGCACTTTGTTATAGCAGCCAGATCTGAGACAGACAGTAAAGCTAAAGAGATTTGTGAATGGGGTTGACATAGTGAATAGGAGACAGGTTTCAAGAAGATGCTAGTGTTTTGGCCGGGTGCCTAGAGGCTGGAGCTATCATTACCAAAAGAGTGGGCGGGGGTGAGGTGATAACCAGGTTACAGGAAAAGGAATCAAGGGTTATGTTTTGAACATCCACATGGAGAGGCTAAGCAGGCAGATGGTTTCAGGGAAGCTGTCGGGAATGGGAATGGAGCTGTAATGTGGGGACCATCAGATGGTATTTATGGCCATGGAACTTGACGTTAACATCCAAGGAGCAAGCGAATACCGAAGAGGTCAGTGCCTGCAGTGGCTCCATGTTGAGTGCTCAGGAAGACGAGAGAATCCAGCCACAGAGACAAAGAAGGAGCCGCCATGTGGGAAAAGGAGAGACAGGGAGGTCCTGGCAGTCAAGGGAAGGGGTATTTGAAGGAAAATATCGCTATGGGACTGAAAATTGACCACTGAAGTTGGGTAACGTTTTCATGCGTATATTTTGCCTTGAAAAACACTTTCATACCTTTGCTATCATTTGCTTTTTGAAAATTAAAGATAACTTTCATGAACCCCTCTGCTGTATCTCAGTCATGCTTGAGTCCTTTTGACACTTCTTTTTTTTGACACTGAGAGTTCCCACCCTTGCCAATAAGCAAAGTCAGCACGCCAACTATTTAATACTCCATGTTTCCCTCATAAAGAAAATGAGACCAAAAACAAAGAACATTGCTATGATATTTCCAACATATGTGTTTCCAACTACACTGTTTGGATTGGTTTGTTCTTTACTTGCTTTTTCATTTCCATTTTCCTCCTGATATTCTAGAGTTCGGGGCACTTAAAATTAACTTTTACCTTGCCCTTCCATGGAAATGTTTGCAAAAGGAATGTCCCAACTTTTTTATGACAGCTCAAGGCCATCTGGTTAATTCCAAATTGTTAGGTCCCCCACCCCACTTCCTTATTTCCTTACTTTAACTCTCTTTTCCTTGTTACAATTCATCCTAGCTGGTGAAGACTGAGATGAGTGTTCTGCAGTTCCCTACATGTCTCTTAGAAATGCAACTGACCAGTTTCCCAAAGATGAGAAACAAACGCTTAAAAGAGAAGTCTTTGTGATAGTCTGGATGACTATCAGAAAATGTTTTCTTCTTTCCTTTAGAATCTTAGCAATGAATGCTTGAAAATTAGTACAGATAATATAAAGTGATCTTTCAGATCTATTCACTCAATACATGTGGACAAAGATGTACAATGCAGTCACAGGTGAGCTAACACGGAACTTGGTAGTGTCAAAGCTCAAGAACATCCCGTAAGCTGCTTTTCTGCCAAGGGTGTGCTCAGACTGATATCCCCATCAATGAACTCACTCCAGTGTTTCTTAAACCATTCCATGTGTGAAGTGTCTCTGAAATTAGGACTGAGAATATCTGGTTATAAAGGGTAACGTGGATCACTGAATCAGCTAATGAAAAATGGAGATAGAAAACCAGAAAGCAAATTGATCTGAAGCCTGAGTGTCCACGCACAATATCATACACACACGTGTGTGTGTGTGTGTGTGTATGTGTAACAGAAAGAGGGTCACAGTCAGAGTCAGAAAAAATTACTGTCTTAAGGCAGGTAGTCTTCTCAGCTGGTTTCCTAAACTATAAAATTTAAATAATAACATAATAGCAGTAATATTTCCTGCCTTACCTTCCACCCAAGTTTGTGGAAACTAACCTACATAATACAAATGTAAGTGCTTTGAAACTGTAGAATGCTTCACAAGCGTGAGTCCATACGGAAGGGTTTTCCAAAAAATTGTGAGAAATGACTGTTATAAACAACTAGACATGTATTCCAATTTTTTCACATCAAAATAAACTTGCTTTTAAATTCCATTTTATCATGAACCTTTTGAAGTCCTCTTACATTACAAACAGCTTAGATGTGTGTTGGGTGTGTGTGTGTGTGTGTATATGTGTGAATGTGTGTTAAGTATCAGGTATCCTGGTAATAGTCTTTTAGTCTCTTTGGGAGTGACAATTCAATTTTCACCGCTAAACCCCTGCTGTGTCTTGTCTCTGTTCATTATCACTTCTAGAAAGGAGTTGACAAGGAGATTAAAATTTAAATCCAGCAATGTGGCTTTCTCTTAGCATTTCTGGTTAATGATGATGGGAAAATGGAAATCTGAGGCTAAATTTAGTTTTATGATTAATAAGTTTAACTGAAACAGGACTGCTATTTTTCTCAATTACAAAAAAGAAGAAACAATAACATAGCCTATAATTTTTACTCCTCCTCTTACTATTATGCTCAGTTTTCGAAGCCTTTGCATATTTAATGTGTTATCTATAACAAGGACCTTGCCATTTTGGGAAACACTAGCAATTCTGCTTTCCTTAACCATCTTGAATACTTGCTCCATAATACAAACTGGCAAGCTCCCTGCATTTGAAGCAATAGAAAGAGGAAAGGCATCAGAAACATTTCAAAAATGATCATCTTTTACATAATAAATTGGTTCTCATTATTAAGTTATTTTCACACTTCTCTAAAGAACAGCTAACCCAAACTGGAGGCTACTTACTTGCCCGTTAGTAGCTCATACACGAGGATTCCCAGTGACCAAAAGTCCACACTGAAGTCATGCCCTTTGTTAAGAATGACCTCAGGAGCCACATACTCTGGAGTCCCACAGAACGTCCATGTCTTCTGTCCAGATCCAATTTTTTTAGCAAATCCAAAGTCAACCTAGAAAAGAATGTCAAAGACATTTTCAGAGGCCATGAAACTCATGCTCCTTTTTAAGTCTCCCTAACTTCCAAAATGTTCCAAAACCTCCTTCTAACTTTCTAAACCTTCTTTTCTCATACTTTCCTTCAACACATGCACGTGCACACACCCACACACACGCATGCACGCACGCACACACTCATATATTCCTTTGAGGATCAGGTGTGGATCAAATTGCTCAGGACACTTGGAGGAAAAGAATAGTTTAGAAAAGGGGGTGGGGGCTGGCGCTGTGGCGCAGTAGGTTAAACCTTTGCCTGTGATGCCTGGCATCCCATATGGGCACCAGTGCTAGTCCCAGCTACTCCACTTCCAATCCAGCTCTCTGCTGTGGCCTGTGAAAGCAGTAGAAGATGGCCCAAGTGCTTGAGCATCTGCAACCACGTGGAAGACCAGGAAGCACCTGGCTTTGCATCTGGCAGCCCTGGCCATTGCGGCCATTTGGGAAGCAAACCAACAGATGGAAGACCTTTTCTCTGTCTCTCCCTCTCACTGTCTGTAACTCTACCTCTCAAATAAATAAAGTAAAACTCAAAAACATGTTTTTTTTAAAAAAAAAACTGCAGTTTAGAAAAGGGGTTAGGATATAACGATGCATAAAGCTCAGGGCAAGCAGGACTTAAAAAAAAATCGATATTAGCATTCATTGGGAAGAGGAAGGAATGGGAAGGTGATTAGCTCCTGTACACTTAAAACTCCATTGTGGAAGTGAAAATAATAGCAAAATGGAGTCTGAGAATGGAACTACTGCTGGGAAAACAGATGCTTAAAACTCTGGACAGTGTTCAAAATCCATTAGACACAGTGTGTGCAGCCTACACCTCCAGCAGTCCACAGCAAAGCCAGCATCATCCCAACCCACTTTTGGCAGGCCCTGAACACTTCCAGGCTCCCCCAGGGAGGTGGATAGTGGGTGGTGCCTGCATTCACTGACTTATTCTGAAGGCATCCACACAGCACCCACCACAGGCCAGGCTTTGTGCTAAACCTGCAAGGTACAAAGATTGCTCTGAGAAGCTCACAGCATAGAGAAAACCACCAGAGACATGATTAGCATCAGACATGGTACCTCAGGGAACAAAGCATACACTCAGAGGACCACCTGTGAACCCTGGGTGGAGTTTTAGGCTCCTGGCTTTGGCCTGGTCCATCCCCAGCCATTGTAGCCACTTAGGTAGTGAAACAGTAGATGGAAGATCTCTTTCTTTCTATTTCTTTCTCACTCTCTCTGTGACTCTGCCTTTCAAGTAAATAAATAAATCTTAGAAAAATACATAGTTCCAGAATAATAGGTTGGAGAAGCTGCTACGAGGAGGTAACATCTGAGGTTGGCCCTGGCTGAGGATTAGGGACAAATCCAGGGTAATGAATCAGTGCTACTCCTGTGTCTTTTCAGAATAGGCCCTTGCACTTCTCTGAGTTGTTATTCAATGCACATAGTGCACAGAACAGACAGGAAAGAAGGTTGAAGATGTAGAACAGCCCTCTTGGTCTTGAGGCAGTGTATATGACAAACCTCCTGCCCTGGAAAACCAAGATTCCTTCTACAGGGGCATACAGCATGGATTTTTCATGTATGATACATACAGAAACTGTTTTAACAAAATCACCCTCCACTTTCCTCAAGAAAGCAGGCACACACACATTGTTCCCTGGCTTCAACTTGTGTATTTTAGTAGCTTCACTATACATGGACCATCTCAATAACATGGCACTAATCTTGACTAAAACACGAAATGAACAAAGGTAACATAATAAAATAAGCCCTCAGGTAAAACAGTGTGGGTCAATAAGTGATAAATATGAATATCTAAAATATTTTTACCTTAAATAAATCTCTTAGAAATTTAACAGAAGAGCAAGAGCTTTCTGATTGGAAAACAACTAATTTAAAGTGGACTATTATTGGTTTTCTTTTCATTCATACAAAATGACTTGCAAATATTATATCTAAAAGATGGCTTAGGGATATTATAAAACTAAATTTGTAACCAGCTGAGCTTAGCCATATCTACTTATTCCTCAGAGAAAGAACCAATATGAGATTCCTAGCTAATTTTATGAAGACTAAAATTTAAGAGATAATAAAGCAACGTTTTTAACTACATTTGAATGCACATATACATACAAATATTATATTTTGTTGGTTTATAACAGCCTTTCAACTCATTTTTATAAAATTACATTTAAGTGTTCCTTTTCAGAATGACTGGAAGTTCATCATCTATTTAGGAGGGTTTTTCCAGCTCTGAAAGTGGTATATTTTAATTTGAATTGCTGATTTTGCTTTTGAAGTATTTGCATATTGGCCCAGAGAGATAGCAGCAATTACATCAAAACCCTAAGATGTATGAAAATGCCATTTTCTTTATCTCCTTTGATCATATCAACTTTGGTCTCATTCATTTGGTCAGAGGAAATGGAACCCTTAGACCCATCCAAAGTCATTTGCTTAAAATAGTAGATCTCAGATCTATGTGAGATTCTGTATATTGTCTATAAAATCAAGCTACTTCTGTCCATAGTATCGTGAACACCACCACAAAGCTTCAATCTTGTTTTTACGTCATCCCTCTGGACAACACTAGTCCTTTCACTTACTCATTCAATGAACATTTATTGAATACCACTGTGTACCAAGCACAAGGGTATGGACCAAGCCCCAGTCCTTGTAAGGCTCATAATCAGAAGAAGGGAAGGGTAACAGCCAAAAAATGTAGTTTCATACATGATGCCAGATGGTGAAATTTGCTAAGAAGTAATGTACAGCAAGAGTTAGGTACAGGGAACAGCATAAACGTGTAAATAGGGTGAACAGGAAAAGCCTTTCTCAAGAGGTAGCATTTGGGGCGGGCTGAATGGAAACCTGAGCGAAGCAAGAGAGTTCTGTAAACAACTGAACAAGGGCTATTCTGCCAGGAAGAGCTACTGCAAAGGCCCTGAGGCAGGAATGCATGGTGAAGTGCCAGGACTGCCTGGCCACAATGTGAGACAGAAATTAGGGCAGATTATGGAATGGGCTGAAACGAGAGAGTTCTTCAGATGTGCTTTCTTTCTCTGAGAAGTCATTGTACAATTCAGAGAAGGGGTATGGCATGGCTTGATTTATGCTTTACAGGGATCATTTTAGGAGCCAAGAAAATAGGGCTCCCCTGCCATACACACATGTGCACCCTTAATTTTCTCAAATTCTCCTCGGGAAATATCTCTGGAGAAGCTGTACACAGATTTTCCCATGAAACTCTCATTATTAAAGATGGCTCACATTATGCTAAAAGCTTAAAAAGCATTAAGTCTCCAAAGATTTTAATAAATGAGAAGATTTTAAGATGTCTCTAAGTCTGAAGAATGACTGCATCAATTAAGAAACAGGAAAATGCACTTTGTGGCTTGCTGGAGCTGCTGTCCAGTAAGTATGAGTTTTTTTTTTCCCAGAAGTTTCTTTCTGGATCAGTATATTTGTCAGATATTAGTTCTCTCAGTCAATTAAAAAATGGACAGAAGGTGACCCGTCTAATTAAGCCAGATGATTCATGGAGACAGAACATTAAAAAAATATTTATATAGAATTTTTAGGGCACTTTCTTAACCCACGTCTAGACAAGGGCAAAATGGAATCTGTTTATTTGGCCAGCCAACAACCAACATTGACTTAGCGTCCCTCTGATACTAGCGTCCATCTGCTGAAACAGACAACAGTGGATGATTCCTATCCCCTGGAAGTGAGAGTGCCAGGCGATGGGGGGAGGGGGGAGAAATGGTTCAAGCAATGAGCAGGCTTTAGGGGGATGTGGCGATTCAATACCTCAAGTGTTCAGTACCAGGTGGGCAAAGAAAGGCAAGGGAAGATTTGTGTATACAGACTTCACTGGAAAAAGCTGTTGAGGTTCATCTCAGATAAGTCTAAGGGATTACAGAACCAATTCTTTTCTCCTGTGATGTTCCTTAACATGGTTTATATTTCCACAATTACATCCCTGATGGCAGCCCTGTCTAATTGTGTGTGAATAAATCTGGCTTCTGGAGAACAGCCATTATGTTTTATTCATTTTGTATCTATACAGCATTTGTAATACAAGTAGATATTTAAGCATGCCTGGTGGAAATTTAAAAAAATGATAGGATAACCATTAACACTAGTTAATATATGACATATATTGAGATCTAGGAAGGTCATAGATACTTGTATGAGATGAGATTTGAACTAAGTTTCAAATGGAAACTTCTTATAACAGGAAAATTGATGAAGAAGTAGAGGGTGTCTCAGGAACAAAGTAGCAGTGTGTATGCATTAAGCACGTTAGTAGGTGAAGCTTAACATGTACAAATAATAATGCTTTGGCAACAAGAATATGGTTGGACCTGAGAATTGTTTTTCTTTCTCAAGTTAGAAAATATCTGATACATATAAAATAGTAGAATACATATACAAGTTTTAAAGCATAAGAATGAAAATACCTTTGCCCCACCACCAGTTTAAGTATGAGAAGAAAAGTGCTGTGGGAATTCTGGGTGCCCCTCCACTAGGGTCCACCTGCCCATGCCAAGAGGGCAACATTACTCTGATTTTTGCATTTATTATTTGCTTCCATTTGTTTCTGATTTTTGCATGTATCTAATATCCTTAGGTACCAAGTATTTTTCATTTTAAAAACTGTAGATCAATCTTGAATGTATTCTTAGGGAATCTGCTTTTTTATCCATGCAAAGTTATTTCTGTGAATTTAATTCATAATGAAATTCAAGTACTTTCACTGCTGTAGCATAACATAATTTAATGAGCACTTCATGATTTTTGGTACATTATGTTATTGACGGACATTTGTGTTATCTTAAAGCTAGGAACCAGGAGCCAGGAACACAATTCAGATCTCCCACGTGGGTGGCAGAAAACCAATTACTTGACCTATCACCAATGCTTTCCAAGGTCTGCATTGGCAAGAAGCTGGACTCAGGAG